GCAAGCCTTTACTTATCATTGTTTCTCAATCAGCAAAAGTAAAGATTTTTATAAAATACCGGTTGCTTACCACTTCCTTTGAAGCCGATCTTTCTATAACCTATTCAAATTTGTATTCGAAAAACCTGCCGAAGGTTTGTAATTTTTGTTTTTATCAAAGAACTGCTCACATGGCTGAAATGAGGGAAAAACTACTGTGTTAAACATATCAAACATAGCTTTTTTAACCCTTTCATGGTTCGACAATGTAAATTAATGTACTTCATCGCACAGTAAAAAGGATTCTGTTAACTTTGCCTCATCTCGAATTGTGCCTTTGAATAATTCCTCCTTAAATGAGCAGTGAAGCACTCCTCTCCTTTAGATCAAAAGGCTAATCGTTTACTGTGCGATCATCCAACAATAGCCGAATCTCCGAGGCGAAAGTGAGTGGCCACGTGCCCCCGGGCTGGGTCCCGTCAAGTGGAGGCTTTTGAAGTTTTGCTGAGGTAAGGGGAATAGGAATTTGGTGGCAAAACCTTTGCTCGCTTTCACTTTTATTCGAAGTGAAAGGGATGATATATTTAGCGTTCTTAATCTTTATCTCTGAGTTTAAAGCTTATATTTACGATAAAGAAAATCACAATATTGCTGCAGAAATCCGAAATATCAAAAGATGTAAATAAACAAGCAGGAAGAATGGAATACAACAAATAAACAAGTAGGAGAAACGGAATTTCAAGCATTGCATTTGAATTCAAGACTTTTTCGTCTAAAAAATTTTAATAATGCTATATATTTAATAAATGAGTGTTTAAGGACTTCCAAAAATTACAGAATTATTATTCAACTGCTTTTAATGCCAAACGATAGCTTTCCTCAAAATTATACTTGTATATAATTTTAACATTTTCAGGAAAGAATAAGAAAGACATTAGTTTCTTCTCACGGGGTTTCAAAAAATGGATCTTTCAGTAAACGCTTACACTAAAACAGACTTATAAGCCCAAAAGTAGCGGTTAGATCGGACAAGATTCGAATTCCAGGGAATGGGTTGGCTGCATGGATATTTTCGAGGTTTTTCCCTTACGTAGCATAAATGCAAGCCAGTTTTCTTTACAAAGTCCTTGAAAACATTCCTTCCTTTACGCAAACAGCCCTCCAAGACTCCGTTCAGACGGTGGTATAAATGTCATAGAGGCATAGTCATAAGGCATAAAATGCGGTATTTCCGTTCACACCTGCCAGACAGGATCTAGCCGTAGCCGATAACTTTAATTTGTGCATGCGTGGATTGTGTCTACAGCAGCTTTCCTGTTCTGTTTTCCCGTTTAACGAGTTTCGCGCGTTCGCTCTGATTGGTCAACTCTTATACTAAGTCGGCATAGAGTTGAAAACTTCTAAATTGATGTCGAAAACCTCTAAACTAGTTTTTGTGACGTAGCAAGTCTGGTTAACCAGCAACGAAGTTTGGCTTAAACGATCCTCTGAGCGGAGCCTTATGCATTGTTGTATTTAAACAAAGAACGTATGAACGAAAAGGAATGCGATAATTATTTACATTCTCCCTAGTTTGAAGAGTGACTGGGGAAAGAGAAGATATCCCGATCAAACTTAGGTTGATGGGCCATCGTACCCTGGTTGGTATGTGACAAGTTACCTTCTTTCACACTTTATATTCTGGCACTCCTGTTGAGAATATTAGGCTTTTTTTGCAGCTGAAAAAGTGCAAGAAATCAACATTGTCCTTGCGTTGATTCTAATTTTCCAACTACTTTCTCGATATGCTATCATTCAATTACAAGAGTAGATAGGAAAAAATGCTATAATTATTACATTTTTTCTGCTTGTAAAGTTGCCGGAACGGAGCCGACTGATGAAGAATTATCATCCATAAAATTTTTAATTTCAGCGCCATCGTGGAAAATTTCAATATGCAAAGTTTTCCTCATTCTACCTGCTTATAAACTGATTGAATTCAGAAAATATTTTTCTGAATAAACAGTGCTATACGTTTTGAAAAAAATTCTGAAGACTTGCTACGGCTTGAAATTCATTTTAACCTCTTCGATCTGCAAATATCCGCTTTGCAATGAGGCATTAAAGTCGTCAACCAGTTCTGGCAACAGCTGCCTAATGTCTACCGATAGATCTATTATAATAATAGTTCCTAATATCTACTACTAATATAGATAATATTTCCGAATATCTCCAACAACTTCATTATTTAGACGTTTTTACAAATTGAATAATTCCATTTCATAAACAATTTTTAGAGCTCATTAGAAAAACTAGTCTTATATGAAAGAGACACACGCCAGTGTCAGATTAAATAAATCATCAAAATAGACAAAAATAAGCTTTAAGTTAGCTAACAAACTATAAAATCAATTACCTAGTTTATATAGATTTTGAGATATTTAATTACTAGAAATTTTAATTATCAAACTTTGCGTTAGAGTTTTTCCTGTGTTCCTGGTCACAACTTGCTTTTGTTTTTATATGACCTTTTTCTGAACTGCACCTTCATTGCATAGAATGGTACCGATGATTATCATGAATTACGATGTATTGTTGATTATCATGAATTTAACATTACGCATTAGGGACAATTACGCATTTACACTGCGAACATTAAGCATCAACATCGTGCATTATGGAAATAATTGCACTGTTGATTATCGTAAACTTAACATTACGCATTAGGAAAAGACCATGTAAAGTTTATCTTCAAAAGCGGCTCGAATTCATAATCTATATAATCTAGCTAAGGCCATTATTAAGCTATCTCTTTGTGTAGCCGAACCGACGCTAGAGTTTGATAACTGCCATGTGAAGAGGTCTTTAAATCTGAAAGGTCCTCTCTGAACAATTAATCTGACCGTGACTTGAGAATTTATCTGTTTACAAATGCATATGTATAATTACATCAAAGCTTTAGCAATCTGTCATTTGAAAAGCAATAAACATTCTGTTTAAGTATGTAAGTTTTCAAAGTTACCCATGCTGGAACTTTGAACTTTATACTCTACTTTAAAAAGAATGTGCACTTTATAGTATTTCTTAACTGTCGGCAAATGATCTTGACTGCAGTCAGCTCGCAAAAGCACATATATAAAATTCAACAAAAGTTTTATTTACCATTTCTGGTGAGTTACGATTAAAGTCAATATTTACAAAATAAAAGGTTGATTACTTATAGATTCTAATTTTTAACACTTAGAAAACCTGTTTTGTGCTTTTTTTCTTTAGTTTATCAGCCTCCGATGACAAGGGAAATCGATGCAACTGCAAACCAAAACTAATTCTTTCCAACAAAATCGCTACTAGTTCTTGCAAATAGCAGCCCCAACAGTGGCTGAATGGTGAAAACCGCTGAATACTCGTAGTTCGACCTGGGTTCATATCCGGATGAACAGACTGGCAACATGGTTGGTTTTCATGATTTTTGACATGTGTAACGTGAATATAAGCCCCTTGCCCTACTCTCTGAACTTCCTCCATGAAAACATTCCTTCCTTTCAAAGGATAGCCCTAGTATGCTTTGCCTAATTCACATAAACTAACCTTGCGAATAGAAAGTGCTTGTTCACTTCACAAAAAATGTTCTATTAAACTTTGGTGGCTCTTAAACTTTCTTGGAAATCAGGTCTGACAGAATATACGTGACGTGAATCAAAGAGAAGATAGAACAATATTTGAACCAAGCTTAACTAAAATAATTGTCAGAATGTGAAGTTTTACGACAAAGATTAACCAGTTCATAAAATTGTTAATTATTTTATAATGATAATAAATTATTAAAAATGGTATATAAAATTAAAAGTGATTGTGAAACCTTTTTAGAAGTGAATACATTACAAGTATTGTGTAACATTGAAGTCATGTATTAGCTGCTGACAGAAAAAAAAAAAAAAAAGCAAGAGAAGTTTGAAATTTTGCTTTATGCTTTCAAACAAACTACTACATTGTCATAAAAATAAACATTTTATTAATGAGGCCTCGGTATTCATTTGAAAAGACTGCGTACTTTTAAGAGCTCAGCTTTCCTTTTGCACTTGATCAAAAAGAAATAAATAAATATTTATCGATAAATCAGTAACTTTCAGGTATTGCAATATTTTTATTATTTTATTGCAATTTACTATAATCATAAATTTACCACGGAACCAGACAAATTGCCCCAGAATCCTTTTTTTTTTTTTTTTTCTTCTTCTTTTATTTTGTAATGTTACAAAAAAGTATCAATTATAGTACACTCTAACTAATACATAGAAAATGAAGTTGACGAATTCAGTATGGTGTTGACAGCCACCGTTCTTTCGCTAGGAGGCTTTTATATTGGGCTTTGTATTTAAAAACGGCTCCAAAAGTCAATATCAAACAATTATAAAAAATTAGATCCGAAATAATCGATAAGCAATTTTGTAAGTTAATTGATTTTAGGCGAATAATAATTTGAGAAAAAAACTGACTAAGGGAATACTTAAATCTTCGGTGTTTGTCTTTACTGTCGTCAATAAGAGTAACCAATTTTGCGTAGCTTATCTTGAAATTGAGTTTCTTCTCAATGAAATACATTGAATCACATCACGCAACTTTGCCTTTCAAAACATGACGATGAAAAGTGCATGTCTTAAGTTTGCTGAAGCGGTTTGAAAAGAAGGTTTAATTCTTTTCCTCAATTAGAGCAGAGTATTCTGAAGAAAATTTAAATGTTTCTTTATTATCAATTTTCCTAATTGTCGTATAGTGTTTCCTACTGTCGTATAAAAGATTTAAGATTTTATTGAAAACTGGACAGATGTACAACAAAAAGTGTTGGAGGTGAAATGCTCAAGACAGGATGCTGAAACCAAAATCTTATGAAGTTAATCAAGAAAAAAGCACTTTAGTTAATTATTTGGTTTTTTTTCATTTTAGCCTTACGACGCAAAACGAATATTGCTTAGATAATGACATACAAGCATAAAACTTAAAAACCTATTTATCGTTTGGTATTCTAAGTATTAAATGGAAGAATGTTTGTCCGAAGAAAATCTTATTTGAGATGGAATAAAAGTACTGTTAGTGGTGAATGTTGCAAATTCGTTTCAGATGTGGGAGCGAAAACGGATACACCATTTAATGATAGTAATAAATCTATATTTGTTGAAGAACGGAACATTTGTGGAAATAGCAGTAACTTAAGAATTCGACCAACGACTAATTATAATGAAATTAATCATCAGTTCATTCCAAGCCAGGATTACAATCGAAATTTGGACACTTCAGGAACAGAATTTGAACTCAACCATAAAAAGCCTAGCAAAGTGTTTGTTCTGGAAGATGTTCCATATGATGGCATAGCCAATGACTCTCGTAATGATACTCAAGTATCGTCCCTTTTTAGCATGAAATCTAGAAACACAAAAAAGTTCAAAGATCGAAAGCATAAAAAACGTTGTTACAAAGAAAATACGTTTCAGGTGAGCAGTTTTCGTAAACGTACTACGATGCCCAGTACCGAAGTTGACGATTCTTATCCATCTGAACCACCGCCCACATTCAAAGCAATTGCGAAGCTGTTTCTTAAAAAATCATCAGTTTATGCTTTGAATCAAATTGGAAATTCTAAGACAAATAGCGGCAAATTATTTTGGAGTGTTATTATGATAGCAGGTCTCCTTGGTTGCGGTTCTCAAGTATTCCGTTATATGAGTACATTTTACGCATATCCTGTGGTCGTAAACATTGATTCCGTAAGCAAATTCGACCAAATATTTCCCGCTGTCACTATATGTAATTTTAATCCCGTAAGAAAAATATTTGTCCCTTGTATGACGAAGCAAATTAGTTATGAAAACTGTAATCAAACTTTCTTATCGAGCCAGTCAAAGTTCCAGTTTACGTCAGATGAAATACAACAAAGTTGTTCGGAAATTCTTAACATAACGTGTGATGAAGATCAAGAAATTGTCGGATTTCGTAGTTTGTATTTAAATTTAAATGCAGAGACGCGTAAGCGGTATGGGCATCAGGCTGAAACATTTATTCGCTCTTGTTCTTTCAGAGGTGAGAGATGTTTTACCTCCAATTTTAGTTTATATCAGGACACTCGTTTTGGAAACTGTTATACATTTAATAAGGCATCTCGTAATAAAACAGCTCTTGACACTTCTCTTATAGGACCCAATGGAGGATTAGAATTAGAGTTGGATTTAGAAATTGACCAATACATTTGGACTACAAGAGTAGAAGGAGCAAGAGTTGTAATCCACGATCCTTACAAAGAACCAAATCCGCAAGACGAAGGAATAAATGTCAGTGCAGGATACGAAACAGCTGTTGCTATCTCAATGATCACCTTTCACAGGTTGCCAGCTCCTTATAAAGATCAATGTAGGCGTTACGAACTGGAGGATGATCAAAGAAAATGCCACTCGAATTGCTTCTATAGCAATCTATATTCTTCTTGTTCATGTCACTGGCCAGGTGAATATGATATAAAAGAGTCCCGTTATTGCGATATGACAAATTTAACCGAGTTAATATGCATGTACCGTGCAGGAAGTATTGGTTGTTACTGTCCTTTGGAATGCGACAAGACCATGTATGATATGAAGATTTCTAGCGTCGCTTGGCCTTCCAGAGCATACACTGAATCAAAACTCAGGAAATACAGGAATGAAAGGAAACTGAAAATGGAAAATCTTAGAGACACTAGGTTCAAATTGAGAGTTTACTATGATACTCTGCAACAGTTAATTTATGAGCAAAAGGCAAAATTCGAAGATGCGGAATTGTTAAGTCAAATAGGAGGCCAAATGGGATTGTGGCTAGGTCTCTCTTTGGTTTTTCTTTTCGAATGGCTGGAAAATTGTGTTATTCTCTGGAAATTATGGAAAAAAAAGCATCAGTAATCGCAGAAATCTTTGAAAGATCTGTATCCTTCGTGAAATTCCGAGTGCAAATATATTCGTGGTCAATTTCTCTGCTCATTTTAACGATCCATGCCTGTGTGTAAGAGATAAATCCACAAGGCTAATTTGTTTTTCTCCAATTTTAAGGATTTTTTGAGATTTCGTAAATGTAATTTCATTGTGAATTTTAGATTTTTCTATTGCTTTCTAAATTTTGTAATATCCATTAGATTATTTTTCATATTTAAATAACTTTATATTATTTCCCACAAAAACTAATGAGAAAAATGCATTATAAAGTTATCCTTAAAATAATTCTTCTCAGATAAATATATAATGTAAATATTATGGCTATAATTCCATAAGAGTATTGCATTTTAAAAGAATTTTCATTTCGTATATAAGTACTGAAATTAAAATCTTCTTAACAGAACTCTAAAAAAAATGTTTTTATGCTATAAATTTACTTGTTAAATGTAGAATTTATTAATATCTATAAATTTACACTATGTGTATTTTTCAATTAAGCTTCTTTACTCAACAAATTTTTAACTTTCAGTATGCAACAGAACTGATACCTTTTATGAACAGTTTGGAGATATTATGCATTACAGTGCTGATATACCACTTTTGTTCCGTCTCTATATAATTCATCTTGTTTATACAATTTTAATTTGTTCTGCGGATTTTCTTTAAATGCACGCTTTTTTCATCTTACGCAACTTGAACTTATGATCATGAAACAATAAAAAAGGGAAAGTAAAAACTTAACGTCTACGACGCGATATTTGCACGATACCAAAAAGAGACACATACAACAGAAACTAACGCTTGAGGACACAACGTAGGACATAAACTGTGCAAGTAAGTTTAGTTCGTATTTTTCTCCTTCTTTTCGTTTACAGTCATCGAGTCTTCAGTATTCTTTTGCTTGTTTACACTGATAATATTCCTTTAACGTATTTGCAGATTCCGATAACCCAGTATTTAGTATTTTAAAGTATTTATAAAAGCAGAATGAAACTGAGATTTTTACTAAAACGATTGCATGGGCGGAACACAAATGACACTGTCCCATCCTGAATGTCATTCTATGCCTGAAATTCAATTTCTAATTATTGTAAAATGGCCATTTAACATTAATCATTCTTTTGAATTATTTACAACGCGAAGCCATAAAAACTCATTTATGATTATGAGCAAATTATAAGCAGGTAGTAATTTTATAGCGGCTCAAAATGCAGCGATTGTTTTTATGAATTTTACAGGATATTCCAAGACTTCCTGAATGAAGCTCATTCATGAATTTCAGATATTTCGTATTGTTTACTAAATTTTACATTTATCATTAGATTAGTTTTCATATTTAAATAAATTTACTATTTTCCACTAAAATTAATGAAAAAAATTGCATTGCAAAGTTATCCTATTCACAATTTTAAACCAGAATTTGAATTAATACTGCTCTTTTTTCCTAGTTTTCTGAATACCAGATCGTATAGTTTTCCAAAGTTATGACATGCAATTTTCCGCTGCCTTTTTTGCAACAAATAATTTACAACAGAATTTGTTTTTCCAAACTGGAAAACTTCCTACTTAATGAAGAAATTCTGTATACACACAATATAATGAATGCAGTCACCGTTCATGTCTTCAGAAATTCTATTATAACAACGATGATCACATTACCTGCTTGTAAAGTAATCAGTGCTTGCCTGTAACCATAATACAATAATATACTATGGTTATAATACAATACTATCTCTATTATTGTTATATAATCACATTTTTTTCAGCTCACCCTTTTCGAGAAATTTTGCTCCGTGCCTTTAGCAACTGTGAAATTTAATCTGATAAACAACGAAATTTAACAATCAATCCGATAAAGTTCAATAGAATAAATGTAATAAAATTTTAAATTATTGAAAATTAAAAAATAATTAAATTTAAAAGGTAATGAATAAGTGAAATAAATTACAATAACAATATCTCCTGTCTGTCAAGCAAGAGCTAGCAGTCATTGAAAATACAATTTAAAAAACATTAAATAAGTAAAAATTTTAGTTAATTTTAGAAAAATGCAGACTCATCAGGGATTATCGCACCTTTCCCTCAATTGTTCAGATATCATGTTTCGTCCTTCCATACGTAATCCTAAAAATGTTTTTACAATTTTTAATATTAACAATTCTTTATAAACTAGTAAATACATATGCATGTTAAAGATTCCCCTACACGATGCTTCATCTCCTATTCTAATGCAGTTAAATTTACTAAATGCAAAAATAATGAGAAAAGTGTCTCCTAAGAATTACACGGAATAATCACGCAAGTATCAAATAATAAATACAAGATTTAAGAATAATTACAAAAATGAGCAATTTATTTCTTAATTACAAAAATATTCGTCTTAATGAATAGTGTCTTATTTAAAATCATTAAAATAAAGCAAGCCTAAATAAAACTTGATTTTTTTTTTTGGATTATGTCATTATATATGTATTAAAGAATCGAAATTGGGAAGAATCGAAACAACTTAAAAGTGTATTAAATTCAATAAGTTAAACCATCAAAGCAACAATAAAAGTATAGATAAAAATTTGCAAAGGTTGACCAAAAATATTAATCTAATTATTGTACGACAAACAAATATTGATCTTCCTTGTTTAATATTTCAAACAGAACTTGTCAAGGCGAGAAGTGTTTGAAACTTTAAATTTGGACGATTAATCAGTTCGGAACACAAGTTTCGTTCGTCTGAACCATTTGAGAATTAAAACTCATTAAAACGAATTCGTAATAATAATTAACATTATAAAACTTTGTAACGAGTCTCAAATGAGTTCAGATCTTTCCCCTATATGCATTCCTACTCAATAAAAACAAATATATACTCGAAACAATTTATCGTAGTAAATACTAATGTAAAAATTAAAATTAAAAATACTAAAACTACTAAAAAATAAATGAAGAACTACATAATTACAAAACAGATAGCGGAAAAAATAAATGATCTAACTGTCATTTTTTTTACCAGAAGTTTAACGAGATGCAAGTAATTACATTTTGGCTCTATATAATCACTGTTGTAATTATTTCTTTAATTTGTATATAACGACGCTATTTTTTAATTTATTATCAAAATATATTAAAAACATTGTGTTCTATATTTTTTAATGTATATTTTAAATTTTATTTGAAATTTTCATTTATATTCGCATGTATAGCATATTTGTTATTGGATATGTTTTCTTGCATAAAGGCATACAGCATTTCTTGCATACAGGATGCATTTGTTGCATAAAGGAGGAGTTTTCGATTTTCAGGGGAAACTGAAGGTATTTATACGAGGGTTGGAACTTTAATAGTGGCAACTATTATTTACAAGGAATACAAAAGTGATTCATGTCACCATGTCTTACAGTCCTTCAATATAGTCGCCAGCATTGTGTACAACCCGTTTCCAACGCTGTGGAAGTCGCAGAATACCTCTAGCAGCGCCTGTTTTGTTGATAGTTTGAATGGACCGGTCTACTGCCGCAAGAATACTGCCGCAAGAATGGACCGGTTTACTGCCGCAATCTCAGGAACAGTTTGGAAGCGAGTGCCACGAAGTGGTTCCTTCATCTTAGGAATTAAGTCATAGTCACAAGGGCTTAGATCTGGGGAGTATGGTGGATGGTAAAGCACTTCCCAGCCCCATCACTTGAACAAATCAGTCACAGCTTGCGCTGCATGCGGCCGAGCAATGTCATGCAAAATGAGAGGAAAGCTCTGCAGAAAGTGTCGCCGTTTCTTTCTCAAAGCTGGTCGGAGATTGTGTTCCAAAAATGAGCAGTAATACTGCGCAGTGACGGTCTGCTGTGGGGGAACGGTATGCGTTAGGATGACACCATCACAGTCGTACACGAGAATCACCATAACTTTCACGTTGCTGAGGTTCTGACGAAATTTCGAACGTCGTGGTGACCCGTGATGACGCCATTCGTTTGATTAGCGTTTCAGTTTTGGCTGGTACGATCGGGCTCAAGTCTCATCCAACGTAATGATGCGGCGTAAAAAAGCATCTCCTTCGCGCTCATAGCGCTCCAGATGGATTCGAGCAGCATCGTATCGTAGCCATTTCTGCATTTCCGTCAATTGATGTGGAACCCATCGTGAAGCAATTTTTCTCATAGACAGGCGTTCGTTCAGAATGTGCAGTACAGTCGTATGCACTAATCCTGTTTGTCCGGCCAGCTGACGAATCGTTTGGCGGCGATCACTGTCCATTAAAGCGGCAACATCTTGCATGTCTGCATCGCTGACATTAGGACGACCTGGCCGCAGCATGTCTGCCACGTTTTGGCGTCCTTCATTGAATGCTTTCACCCATCTTGCTACGATTTTGTAAGGCAATGCAGATTCCCCGCAAGCCTCTTGAAGCCCTTGATGACACTGTCGTGCTGTACGACCTCTGGCACTTTCAATTTTTATCCAACAACATTGTTCTTGTTTTGAAAACATCCTGACAACACATACTTTAGACCGCGAGCTAATACAAGATTCGTTCTTCGCGTCACTCCGCATGCGCGTGACGTAGGTAGGACGAGTCTTTTTGCTGAGAGTTAAGGTAGGTATGTAATTTACGTGTGGTATACGCGATATTCTTTGGTTTTGTTGCGTAGCGTTTTTTTCAGCTGTGTTGCCACTATTAAAGTTCCAACCCTCGTATTAATAATCGAGTACATCGGATAATCTTAAGCTTATAGAAATAGAATAAATCTTCCAGGAAAAGGTATATTATCATACGAAGGCTTTACATCCTCTTTAAAAGTAAGAGTCTGAAGATAATAATACAGTCTTTTCCCACTTTTCAGCCATTTTTTTTTTTTTTTGTTTTTTTTTTTTTTTTCTTTATTATAATTTGTGTCACATGCCACATATTATTTTAAGTGTATTTTTAGTTTTAGATTTTTTAAAAAATTCGGTTAACTCCATTTATAATTTGCAATACCAAT